TTAACGCTCGACAAATGCCTAGCAACTTCCGCTAAACCGCGCATGCTGCGTTTGCCGAGCGTTAAAAAACGCTCCGCAAACGCCAGACCAATGCTTGCCAAACGCTATACGGGCGTTTGGCAAGCGTTGGTAAAACAGCCAAGTGTGAACGAGCCCTTAGAGCATTTTTACAGCTAAAAAAATTCCTCTAGAAACCCACTGGGGGTTTTTTCAGCCAAAAAACACTGATTACAGCCTATGTGTGCATGGACACATAGGATAACATGCTGGGGAGTTTATTGGCTATAGAAAAAAAACACCAAAAGCCAAAAACAGCCGCTGCAAAAACGTCCAGTGTGCATGAGGACTTCTGGTCCAATGTGTTAAGGCAGCATATTTAATTTAAAGATTGCCAACACACCACAATGGACCAGCAAATGCACCGTTCACCATTTTTGGGTGCACCACAACACATGGTATAAATTGTTTAAATCTATATATGGAAGCTGTTTTTACTGTCAAAATTTACATACAGCCAAGCCGAAGGAAAGAAGAAAGACTTGACTTGATACACTAATAAATGCAGGGTGTTCTTGTTTTTACCCATCTGTTAGAGCAGTGAAAGAAGCCACAGGCTCTTCTCTACTCTCTTCACCAGCTCTTTAATAGCACATGTGCACTGGACAGCTGATTGGCTCCTTGTGCTACTTCTCCCTCTCCCAGTCTGAGCTTTGCTGTACAGGGGATTGTAAGCCAAATTCTAGTCGTTACTAGCTGCTTTGCAAAACATGCTTATTTATGTTTATTAATGCACTGTTCAAAAAAATTAAAGGAACACTTTGAAAACACATTAGATCTCAAATGAGGAAAAATATAATGCTGGATCTCTATACTGATATGGACTGGGCAATGTGTTAGGAATGTAAGGATACCCCATCGTTTGATGGAAATGAAAATTATCAACCTACAGAGGACTGAATTCAAAGACACCCCCAAGTGAAAAAATGATGCAGCAGACTAGTCCATTTTGCTAAAACTTCATTGCAGTAACTCAAAATGGTACTCAGTAGTTTGAATGGCCCCCACGTGCTTGTATGCATGCCTGAGAATGTCGGGGTCATGCTCCTAATGAGACGACGGATGCTGTCCTGTAGTATTTCCTCCCAGATCTGGACCAGGGCATCACTGAGCTCCTGGACAGTCTGAGGTGCAACCTGGCGGCGTCGGATGGTCCGAAACATGATATCCCAGAGGTGTTCTATTGGATTTAGGTCAGGCGAGCGTGGGGGCCATTCAATGGTATCAATTCCTTCATCCTCCAGGAACTGCGTGCATACTCATACACATGAGGGCCGGGCATTGTCGTGCACCACGAGAAAGCCAGGACCCACTGCACCAGCGTAGAGTCTGACAATGGGTCCAAGGATTTCATCCTGATTCCTAATGGCAGTCAGAGTGCCATTGTCTCCAACAGTAACCAGCACTCAAATCTTTCTTGCTGCACTCAAAAATATGGAATCCAGCACTTGCTGAGGTGTCACCCTTGATAGATCGGGGAATCTTGATACTAACAGAAAAGAACAAAACAGGGCACACTCTCCTTGTGCATTACCATGATAGTAAGAAATTTATTCTAAAAAAACAAATGCATACTCACAAGCCTAAAAAGGTCATAAAAACCAGACAAGGAGTCAAAAGATGCCAGTCATGGGCAACATAGGTCCTCGGTAAAGTGCTGCTCAGGCCACCCTAATGAAGTCTGTTTCTGATTGTTTGGTCAGACATTCACATGGCCTGATAGAGGTCATTTTGTACGGCTCTGGCGGTGCTCATCCTGTTCCTCCTTGCACAAAGGAGCAGATACCGGTTCTGCTGATGGGTTAAGGACCTTCTAAGGCCCTGTCCAGCTCTCCTAGAGTAACTGCCTGTCTCCTGGAATCTCCTCTATGCTCTTGAGTCTGTCTGGCAATGGCACATATTGATGTGCCATCCTGGAGGAGTTGGACTGCCTGTGCAACCTCTGTAGGGTCCAAGTATCACCTCATGCTACCAGTAGTGACACTGACCTTAACCAAATGGAAAACTAGTAAAAAAGTCAGAAAAGATGAGTAGGGAAAAAAAATGTCTGTGGCCTCCACTTGTAAAACCATTTCTGTTTTGGGGGTCATCTCATTGTTGCCCATCTAGTGCGCCTGTTAATTTTCATTAACACCAAAGCAGCTGAAAATGAATAACAACCCCCTCTGCTACTTAACTGACCAGATCAATATCCCAGGAGATTAATTGACTTTATGCTATACACTGATTAAAAAGGGTTTCTATAAATTTTTCTGAGCAGTGTATATACCTGAATAATTTGTTTCAGAACATCTACCTTGAGTTAATTTTTTAAAATGAGAATACATTTGGCTTTGATATTCCAGAACTAGCATGCCATTTTCAAAAAGGCATAATTGAACGTTTCACAAAAACTGAAAATCAGTGTATAATTTGCCCAGCGCTATTAAAGATTATCAGCTAAAGTATGATAAACCAGATGAAATTAAAAATCAGATTGGGAAGAAACCCAACACAAATATATATTTTTTTATATTTATTGATATTATGTAATATATATTTTTTGATCACCTGCAGGCACTAATTCATGCATTAAATAGCTACTGTTGTCAGACACTAACTGCACCAATAGATTCTCCAGATTACCTGTAATAAGAGAAACCTGCCGGCCATAGTTTATTGCCTGAAAATGGCTGCAAAACCAAACCTATACACTGGATCAAACCTACAGCCAATGAAGTCAGAACTCAAGATCTATAGACTTGTTCCAAGTTAATGATTTAAAGCAGGGGTGCTCAACCTTTTGAAGAGCGAGGGCCACTTAAGCGATATAGTAACCAGTCTGGGGCACAATGAAATGATTCATAATTTAGAATTTTTTTTTTTAATAATATATGAAGATTTTATACAATCAGGATCATTTTCTGTGGGACCAGTCCTCAATGGCTGTTTAAACACAACCACAAAAAAAGTGTAGACGATTCTAGCGTGAACACCGACTTTGATTACTTTTTATAAAAGGACTCCATGGGAGTTATTTATCAAAACTGAAGAGTGCAAAATTTGGTGGAACTATGCATAGAAACCAATCAGCTTTCATATTTTATTGCCAAAGCCTAATTGAACAAGGTGAAGTTACAAAAGTGTGTGTGTTGTACCAGGCAGGTCATGTCACACAGGCACGGGGCAAGGTTGCCATTGTGAGCCCTGACCCTACACCAATGGTTTGGGGTGTATGGTAAAAATATGTCTCAACTATGGGGTTTTACCTCCCCAAACCACAAATGTAAACAAGCCCTTACTGTCCTGAGCTCCCTAGAAGGCTGCTTTCACACTGATGCGCTGCAGTTTATCTGCACTGGGGGCCCTCTGTGTTTTGCCATAGACTTCCATTATATCTTGAACGCAGTTTTTGGTGCGCTTTCAGAAAGTGCACAAAACCCACGGGATACACTGTAAAATATGTATCTATGGCTCAGTGCAGCTAACCTGCAGGAAAGCCACAGGTGCACAGCGCTGCACCAAAAGTGCAGGTAAACCACAGTGCATCAATGTAAAAGCAGCCTTATAGTTAACCCTTTCATAGATGCCAATATGTCCATTGCTAGAAGTGATTATTCCCAGTGTATGCCATTTAATACACTGATCTGAAGTCCTCTTCTTTTCTTCTTGCAGCTGCTGCTGGCATTGCTCTCCAGACTTCCAGAAGGGAGAATAGGCGGAGGGCACTTGGTATCACTATGCCTGGGGCAGGAGTCAGCGCTCCAGAGGAAGCATCAGTTTATGCAGCTCCTGCTCTGCTCCCTCCATGGCTGCCTGCTCTCCCCTTGCCGGGAACTGCTTCATGCATTTTGATGCTCTGGCATGGTGGGTCTGAAAGCCCAGATTGTAAGAAATGGGTTGCCAACCCCAGGCATGCTTCCCTGGTCTGTTTTGTACATGTTTCATTAATTAAGAATCATATTAGGTTTGAGGTTGCAGGCCACATCAGACAGCTCTGCGGACCATGGGTTGAGCACCCTTGACTTAAAGTCTTTGTTCACCTTTACTGAATTATGCCAAAAACCCTAATTAAGAGTTTTCCATACATCACCTCCTCTGTTTTGTAAAACAATACTTACTTTTCAGATGCTTATTACATCTTCCTCCCCTCCATCCTGCAAATAGTAGGATGTAACACTGACCAACATGTGCAAGGTGCATTGTCCAATGCAAAAGCCATCAACATTTTCAGTTTTGGTTTGAGTGTGCACCTAAATGCTACAAGTATGTAAGTTTTCACCTCAGGTGCTGTATTTAAAAAGGAGGATTGTAACTTTTGCAAAAAATAATGAATGCGCCAATTTTGCAAAAAGCCAAAAAAGGTGCATTGATTGGTTTGCATTTGAGCCTGCAAAGCACTACAACTGCAATCAGCAGATCACAGGTGCAATGCTCTGGCTCCTGCAGACTCTTCCAGCTCTGCTACAGAGCTGGAGGAAGCATCAATGGACTACAATGCATTGACTACAAGATTTCTGTGAATAAATTATGCAGTTGTGTGGGCAGAGCCACTCACAGTCTCCCTGATTTCAAATCTAACAAGAGCCAGAGGGGAGAAAAAAAATGCAATCTTGTAAATGGAGGGGCTGTGCATGCTGATCATGCCTAAAGGCGCAACATGAAATATGGTCTAAAAAGGTGGAGTTAGCCTTTAAACATACAAAAATGTAGGTAGTAAGGAATACCCAAGATAGAAGCCAGACTTTCTATTTAATTAAGAATACAATTATTTATTGCTGAACTGTTTGAGCTGCCAAAATTGAATGAGTTTGGTAGGTTTAATGTTAAAACATATTAAAAAAAAACAGACAGTTATATAAACATAGACCTAAAATACCCGCACATAAAACTACATACAGACTGAAATATATATATATATATATTGAAAAGTCATACACTATTTACACAGAAAGCCCCATTTCTCAGTTCTGGATCCTCAAGGGAAGTTTGGATCTCAGGAGAACCGGTTCTCCATCTTCTGACACTTTGGTTCTTTCCAAAATGCTTCCGTTTGCTTTGTTCTCTTTTTCTTTCTTCTGTCCTTTCTTTTGCTATTTTACAAAATGAGGGGCAAAAAAAAATGTCAGCTTTTTATTTTTACTCCTATAGCACCAATATATTCTACAGCACTTTAGTGTACTGAGTCTTTCACACCAGTCGCTGACACGGAAGGAGTTTACAGTCCAATGTCCTTACTACAATCATACACATGATATATGCTTCTGCACTGACAGTCGACTAGTCAGTTATTCTGGTAAATGTGTGATCGATCTACAAACTCCATGCAACCCAGGACCATTAGTGTTGGTACATTGTTTGATACTAGAGGAATGCCCTAAAATAGCAGCACTGAGGAATCAGACAATGGCAGTCTCAAGTGTTGAATATGAGCCTTAGCCGACAAAGGTACAAGTGATGAGATGGGATCTGTTTAAAGTCAAAAGATAGAACGACTTTAATTTGCTTTAAATATAAGTTTCACTGTGTTCTAGCACAAATGTTTATAGTATTAATCCAGACAAAAAGGTTTACATGGAGTCCTGTATTTAAAATGATCAGTATCACAGCAAAAGGAGTGATAAGGATGTGCAAAGTGCTGATTCCATCGAACTGCAGTCAGCTTGATAAAGAAGATTGTCAGTTGATGACTACAGATTACCGATGTTTGAACATCTCATTGGACAATCTTATTATAGTGTACATTAAATCAGGGCTCTCCCATCTTTCTAAACTGTCCTTCAGGCTGTAGGGGGCTAGACTGTGGCCAGCTGGAGTAGCAAATTCCCCAGCATCAGTGGGAGTAAACAATGACCCTTTATTGGTATCAGTGGGAGGAATAGTGCCCTCGTTGGTGTCAGTAGAGAAATAGTGCTCCATATCAGTGGAAGAAAAAAAGCCCCTTGGGCCAGACAAAGGCAAGCGAAGGGCCACATCCATCCTGCAGGCCACAGTTTGGAGACCACTGTATTAGACAATTGGTCCGTACACAGATCAATGCTGGATTGTCATATCAGTCAACAGCCTTTCTATTTCTCAGCAACATCAGTCAGCGAGAGGTCATTATCTCTACAGCCAGGTCCCTGGGCCCATAAACTAGATGTAGCAGTTTTAAGCTGGGGGGGGGGGGAAAAAGGAATGTTGCAACTATTGGACTTTCCACCTATTTACACTATGGGAAGCAAACAATTTTCCAGCAGATTCCTTGAAGATATAAACCCAGTGCCAATCAATGTGCACGTAAATAGAAAGAACACCGCTCTACCAACCAGCTCGTGTAACAAAAGTAAGGAGCGGGCTCAGCCTACGTGTCTCTGCCGAAGACGTGTTCCACCCCACTTACCAGGACTTAGTAATAATAGGGGACCCTGTGACTAAGTCTCATTGGATGAGCCGAAATGCGTCAGACACAAGTAGGCTGAGGCCGCTCCTAGCTTCTACAGTATGTTACACAGGCTGACCAGGAGAGCGGAGTTCTATTTACATACACATTACTTTCTGGATGGGTACACCAGCATGCCTGCCCCCTTTTTTTCTGTGGATCATGGTAATACAGATTCCTCTCTAGCTTTGAGCATTGCTTCAAGTCTCTACTGAAGACTCAGTATCAATCAAGGCTTGAAATCTCTTGTCTAGACAGACTCTTTGGAATGCTACTAGGAATTAAAATTTGTTTTTACCTGGAAAAAGGGGACACCACCATTTTCTTGGCAGAGAACATTCACATCTACAATGGATTTCTCACTTATGCTGTCATTTACAATTACTAGCTCTTCTTCCAGGGAATCCTGATCCTAAAAAAGAAAAAAAAAAAAAAAAAAAAAGATATAATTAGAAAAAAAGTGAGAAAGTGAACCTGTGTTCAATTATCAAACCATAGGATGAAACTTGATATTATTAAGATACTCCTTCACAAGACTGAAGGTTTCAAAGCATACACAGATGCAGTTTAGTTAGGTCTAACTATTCTTAAAAAAAAAAAAAAAAAAAAAAAAAAAAAAAAATGTTCTTCCCCCTCCACCTTTACGGTCTAACCTGCAGAAAAAAAGTGTGTACTTATTTTTAATCGGTCCAGTCACGTGATCCCACAGCTCTGGCTTCCCTGTCTTATTAAGGAGCTGCTACAGGGGAGAAGAGGGAGCGCTAACAGGTCCCAGAACTCCAAGTCATTGTCAGGCGCTCCCTGAGCTGAAGCTGCAGGATCACACTATTCCGCTTTAACTTCATATTAGTAATTCAGATCTTTGAGAGACCCTGCCATCTTGCTGCCTATGCAAGGCAAAGTGACAATGTTTCTGCAAATGGCTCCCTTATACTCCCTTTACATGCACTCCCTGCTGCTCCTTCCTCTTCTGCAGCCAGCAAGAATATCTGGTGACACTGGCCAGCCCTAGTAGCCAAACATGCCCAAGAACAATCACATGACTTAAGGAAATATCACTGATCCCCATGCATGGGAAAGGTGAGGGACTCTTCCAAGAGGTGGATAAAAACCAACAATAATCACATAGATGCGCATACTGTATGAGAATATGGTCATGCTTGATCATACTTCGTTCCTCCACCTTATTTCATGAACTACTGACTCATGAGAGCAATACTAGGCACATTAATGAGCAAACATTTTTCCTGTTTTTATTTTTCCATAGGCTTGGCTCTCTAAACTTTACCCTCGTTTGGACACCTTTCCACTCATTTTTTCTTGGATCCCTCTAGCTTTTGATATTACTAAAAGCATATCTACTATGTACCACTGATTGAGGCCAACTGAACTGTGCCCCTCTGCCACAACGGTTTCCTCTTCTCTACCCTCTCCAAATCTACTTTAATGACGCTCAGTAAAAAAAAAAAAAAAAAAAAAAAAAAAAAAAAAGAAAGATATACTGTATATATCTAACAAGAGAGTTATTTTTCTGTCTATCCCAGTTCCTGTCTTTGACGTGTATTGTTGGGTTTCGCTATGTGACGCTACAATGACTTATGTATTGCATTAACCTTTATGCATATTTTCTTGTACCCAACATATGGTTAACTATACATAAAAAAAAAAAAAAAAAAAAAAAAAAAAAACCAGAATGTTTGAAGATAATGAGGGATTTCTGCTAAACCTATTAGCTTAACATTTAAATCTCCACAACCCTTATTACGTTTCAGGCATTTAGAGGGAAAAAAAAAAAAAAAAACAAATGTGCAACAGAATGTGAAAAATAGGCCTCGTCTAAAGTTTTAAGTTAGTGGGTTAGTTAACCCAGTTACATCAGTATGATAATAGATACATGTAATAGTAGTCATCCTTGGTCAACATGGCCAAATATTCCTACTTGTTTAGTAAATATTCTGAAAAGTTTACGTCATTAATACCAGCACAGGAGGCCCTTAGCAGTTATATAGCTGTTTACCTGATCCACAGGCTCCTCTGCTATGGACAGCACACTGGTGATTGCAGCCTGAATCTCATCATGTTTCTTTCTGTGCTGCTCCAGTAGAACCTCCCGGGGTGCAGTCTTTATGAGCACAGAGGGGTAAAGGTATTCTTTTCTCTGGGGTGTTGTGCCTGGAATCACAGAAATTGGTTAACAGTGCATAAACTGCTCAGTCTTTTAAAATTCTTGTAAGATGTTGGAAGTCAGATAGTAACCAGCTCATAATGAACTAGTGGTCTTTGGCACGGCATCTAAATAAAGCTTTTGAACTTTCCTAAATGCATTGCAACTCCAGAGGCACTGACCAGTCCTTACAATGCTTTGTTCTCATGGCACACTGTCGATTATTTAAAAAAAAAAAAAAAAAAAAAAAAAAAAAAAAAAAAGGGATGGGTGCCTATGATAGCAGGTGTGCAGGACAGGAGGTACCTTGATCCATGATTGGCCAGACCACATCTGACAAAGCGCCCACCCTCTTGTCATAACAGACAAAATATTGCACTGACTGAGCAGTGCCATCATAATCAATGCACGTTTAATTATTAAAAAAAAAAAAAAAAAAAAAAAAAAAAAAAAAAAAAAAAAAGGACTTTGGTTAGAGCAGTGGTTCTTAACCTTGTTGGAGGTACTGAACCCCACCAGTTTCATATGCGCATTCACAGAACCCTTCTTACCGTAATTGGAAAAATAAAATATGATTTTTAAAATTCAAAACATAGGTATATATTTAGGTATATATTTATACATAGGTGCACAAAATGAACAAAACCATTAAAAACAAAGAACAAAATTTTCACACACAAAAAAAAACAAAAACATAATAATGAATATTTACTGCACGAATCATATGAGGCGGGTGTGGGTCTTCACCTCCGCCGAACCCGCGAGACTGACTCACCGAACCCCTGGGGTTCGATCGAACCCAGGTTAAGAACCACTGGGTTAGAGTGATGAGGGATCAAAACTGTGAGGATGTAAATGCTGTGTATGTATTCTCCCTGGGACTGAAGGCGAGGAGAAAAGTGAAGTTGTCCCCAGAACAGGAAAAATTTACCAAATGGGGACACTTATGAAGAGAACGGTCTAAGGCCTGATGAATACTGGGCGTTTAGCCTTGGTGCATGAGGCTCCAGCATGTAGCTGCAGCTGGAGGACCAGAGCTAAGCAAGCCGCTTGTGTTCCAGACATTCCTCCCTGTCCTAAATTCTGTCATTATCCATTACTGCATAGATGCACCATAGGGATTCAGGCTAAATACGAACAACATTTTTACAACAGCATATTTCCCATTGGCATATCTGAGTGCCACATTGGCTCCCAGTCCTGCGCCTCCATTCCCCAGTCCGAGTGCTGATACAGAGCTATACAGTTATACATATCTGCATTAACTTGTGTCTGTTATATCTGCCTGGAGTTTACAACTAATTCCACCAATAGTCTCTACATAAAAAGCAAGTGCAACCAACTAGCAGTTGATAAAAAAAGAAGCATACACAGATACAACTGCAGGTCAAGAAAAATAAATAAAAGAAAACATTAAATTCTCAAATAGTGAAAAAATTTAATTGAACAATTAATAGTCTCACCAGTGGGAATATCACTCCTGAGCTCTTGTGTAAGGTAGGCGTTAACTTTACTTAGGCCATCCTGTGCTTGTTCACAGAGTTCCAGCTTCTGCTCCACAATTGTCTGCTTGTCATCATTAACTCGTTCCACTAATTTTGATAAATCCTTCTCCTCTGACATTCGCTGCTGGTTCACCATACCCATAATACGCTCTGTTGAGGATTCACAGAAGCTTCCCACATCCTATAAATCACAAGAACATTTCTATTTTGGCACAATACCCAGTTTTGAGCAATTAAAAAGGAATGACCATTTAATAGCCAAATGCTTAGCTTGCCCTTACCATGAGAACATATAGGAATATTTGTGTGCCTCACTGTACGGTGTGCTCCAGGTCTTGCATATTGTGTCAACAGCTTTGATTGCTAAATGCAGTATGCTATTGACATCCACTGAGAGCAATCAGAATTCACCGACATGTGCAGTTGACCTGGTTTCAGATGCTTTTTTGCATTTCCATAAACTTTTATGGGAAGAAAAGTAATTCTGAAGTGAACAAAAGCCTGCAGAAATTAGGCCTTACAATTTTTTTTTTCTCCTCAAACTAAGGGCCAGACCTCTAGGCCAAGCCAAACCTCTCCTTTCTGCACTCTATGCACTGGAAATACTTAAAGGGAAAGGGTATAGGAAGGTGGGCAGAGTTTTGACCTGAAGTAATAAGCATAACTAAATCACACGTATTTAAAAGAAAGTTTTCTGACAAAGTCAAATATGATTGAACATAGTTCTTGGACATACATCCAGTAAATATTCCATGTTTTGATACAAAAATTTACCTTTTGGAAACTTTGGAGCTGTATCTTGGAAAGCTGGAAATAGGCTTCTTGTTGTTCAGCGGCAGAAGCAATTTTCTTGGTGGTAACCTCACACCACTCCTCTGTTTCATGTGATATAGCATTAATACTTGAGCTGAGCTTCTCACACTGTCTGCTGGACTCCTCTACACTGCTTAGGTTTGATCCTGCCTGCTGCCGAATCTCACCCTCTATGTCTGAACATTGGTCCACAAATTTATGGTGGTGGAAGGACGTTTTTTCAATGGCTTCAGATGTAACACTGCAATAAGAACAATGATAAATGAACATATGAAAGCAGATCTATGACAGTTACAGCCCTGGGATTGTTTCCACAGTAAGAAGTTAGAAAAAAAAAAAAAAAAAAACAACTTACAAGTACTCATTTTGATTCACAGAAGTCACCATTATGTTAAGTAAAAACACAGGTGGTCAGATATAAGCAGTAATGTTTTCCACTAGGGAAACTGATGTCCAGACAAAAGCCATCACAATGCCACTTACTCCTTTACTAAACTCACCAATAAAATTGATTTTAGAAAAGCTACAATCTTACATTCAGCCATTCTTTTCCCAGTGAGCTGGCAGACCTTGTTTTCTTGAATAAGTACCTTACATGTAGGCAGGTGCAGTCTACTTCCTCCAATGCAGGTGGCGCTCAACCGCAGCAGCATTGTATGAGGAGAGAAAGATTGGAGGAAACTGTTCCTCTATGGTTTTTCCAGATCAGCGGGGGAAGCAATCCAGTTGGATCTTGCCACCCCATGTGACTTTGGTGGCTATCTTGGTTCAGGCAGAGTCTAATACACTGGCTTCCAGGTTTGGTGCGCATTTGTTGTGAGTGAATAGGTTAGGGACAGGTCACCCATTTGTCAGGGAAAGCGATTGGTGGTAGAGCGAGGGACCAGACAAGTAGGGACAAGCCATCCTTCCTGGAATCCTCCTGCTTAGGTGCAGACCAGCCAGGCTGCATTTCACCCTCTGGGACAGACGCTGTCAGCATGCTCAAGACCCACTTAGCTCTACAAAGCTCAGAATGAGTGTTCCCAGTCGGGTGCCTTCCCATTGGGCTGTTTGTCTCATTGAACTTTCTTCTTCAGTTCTGTTTATTGCAACTGGAATCTGGGTGATCTCTGCTGCACCTACCCACATACATATTCATTAGCTCCAAAACAACTTAAGTATGTAAACACCACTAAAAATCTTACTTATCCATATCTTCCCACAGTAAGCCTGTTGATCTTTGTAGCCTCTCTTCTTTATTTAGAAGTCCTTGGAAGGTATGAGTGAATAGGTTCAACTGATTTTGCATGGAACTTATGAGCTTATTCACTTCCTGCAGAAAAGAAGAAAAAAAAAAAAAAAAATAAATAAGATATCAAATAGAGTTCCACATCAAAAGCAGCCTAAAGTTTCCTTTCTTCTCATGATTATACATGAGACATCCAGACTATGAAAGCTCTCCTCTTACTTGTACAAGTGGAATGTGCATACTGTCCTGAATAAAACAAATTAAAAGAATCTTACAGATCATTCATCTCAAAAACTGTTTGGAAAAATGAAGGCTAAAAATTTGATTTGCAACCTACCTTCATTTGACACAAATAAGACTCAGGAAGATTAAATAAATGCAAGATAGAAAGTTCTAAAAACAGGGAGCAGCAAAAAACAAGGAGAGGATTTACTTTGAGCACTATAGAAATCCAGCTTTGTGCCCCTTTCACATGGGCATTCCGTTGTCCGTTTTTCATTTGTCTTACGGATGAAAAATGGACCCCCATGTATTTCTCTGGACTTGCAGGTGTAAACGGATAAACATCTTTTTACATCCGTTAGTGTCCGCATCCGTTAGCATCAGTTTTTTTGAACGGAAGAAAACTCTATTTTTCTTCCGCTAAAAAAAAAAAAAAACAGAACAAATGAAAAACGGATGTCAATGGACAAAAAACAGATGAAAAAATGGATGTAAAACAGATGTAAACGGATGAAAGAGAAAAAAAAAAAAACAGAATGTAAACTGATCAGTTTTTTCTTTGAAAAATGTGACTGAACAGAAGAAGAAAAAAAAAAAAAAAAAAAAAAAAGAGAGAGAGAACGGAACGCCCGTGTGAAAGGACCCTTACTCTGATAAAGCAGCAATGTATTCTACATGACAGCAAGGCAGCCAGCATTTTCAGGAGGAAATGAACAATGACAGGTCACATTTTTAATTCATCACAGATCTCCTAATTGCCACAATGGTGTTTACTGGATAAAAAAAATGGGAGAGAAGATGTGTCTGTGCTTTACCTCGGAATGCATTGTCTGAGCAGCCTGGATCTCCTCTCTCAAACACTGAGACTCAGACTGAATACTGGAGAGGGCTGAAGTGGAATCCAGACGCAACTTGTGCAGCATCATAGAATGATCAGTGAAAAATTGTTTCATTTCTTCTTTGTGGGCAGCAACCTAAAAAGGAAAAAAAGATAATCATACCATCACTCAACAAGATTACAGCACAAATAGTTTTGTGCTATGAAATTAATTTCAATCCTTTACATTGTTGCTCAATCACACCATAAAGGGAGAAAGACCTGCTGTATCCCACAGCAAATTTATGCCAACTTCAAATTTAGAGGCGCTAGAGAAAGATGAATGCATGGGTGATGTGGGTTACTGTCAATAGAAGTCGATCTCTCTACCAGGCCAATTTACAGGCCATATTAATAACTACTCTGTGTGAGACAGTCAAAAATGAAGCATAAAGCAGTGTGCATGCTCTGTGCAATTGTCCAAATGTGTGCTACAAAAACCGGGGCAAGATGGGTTTCTGAAAGTCACATTTAGGGCCTACTTCCACTTTTGCAGTTTTAAAAATCACACGCTTTTTGCTTCCAGTTTCCATGCTCGGCCACTGAAAACAATCATGCATTTTATGTAAAATGCTATATTCTACATTTATTAAACTGCAAGCCGCAGAAATGCATGAAATGGAAACCCAATACAAAACTTCCTTGCCATTTTTGTGCAGTGTGCTTTCTTAACCACATCAATACTTTCACCCCCTTCCTGCCCAGGCTAATTGAGATTTCAGTGCTCTCACATTTTGAATGACAATTGCACGGTCAGGCAACACTGAACCCAAATTACATTTTTAGCATTTTTTTTTTTTTTTTTTTTTTTTAGATAGCGCTCTCTTTTGGTGGTATTTAATCACCACTGTTAAAAAAAAAAAAAAAAAAACCCTTAAAAAAACATTTAAAATTCGTTATAAAACTGCAAATAAGTAATTTTTCTTCTTCACTGACACGTGGGAGGACATCCATGGACGTCCTCCCAGAACTGGAGAGACGTGCTGTAGTCGTCTTTCTGCTATAGTGCAGTAGGGAACTGGTTAAACTTCTACAGAGGATAATGGGGCTCTCTGGGGGAGATTTACTAAACTGGAGCACTCAGAATCTGCTGCAGCTCTGCATGATAGCCAATCAGCTTCTAACTTCAGCTTGTTCAATTAAGCTTGCACAATAAAACCTGGAAGCTGATTGGTGTCTGTGCACCAGATCTTGCATGCTCCAGTTTTAGTAAACCTTCCAAATGTTTAGTAAAGCATAAAAAAGTGAACTGATCACATTTTCAGAAAAGACAAAAACATTGCCACGGAAAACATCTTGGGGCAAGTAGTTCCTCAAATGATGATTGTTAGCCTGGGTTCACACTGATGCGGTGTGGAATTCACAGCGGTTTCAGTGCGAACTCCACACCGCATCACAAATCACACCCCGTTCATGTGAACCGCTGTGGGTGTGTATGTTAACAACACCCTTGAAAACGGTCTGCAAAACGCATTGCAATGTGCAGAATCGGATCGCATGGGTGTGAATACCCATGCGATCAGATTCTAGTGCGGACCAAAAAAAAAAAAAAAAAAAAAAAAAAAAAAAAAAAAAAAAAAAAGGGTCCTGCACCTTTTTGGTGCAATTTGAGCCATACAAAATGTATGGCTCAAAACGCACTGCACAGAATTCGCATGTGATTTGCACAGGAATGTGGTGCGGTTCCTGTGAGAATCACATGCGACATGCCACAATGCATAAGTGTGAACCCAGTCTTAAAGTCAGTCTATGAAAATTGTAAAAAGGAACAAATCTTAGAGTATTAGCGGTTAAACAAAACATGGAAGTGAACTTACCTTGTCTGCAACACCAAAGAAGTTTTGCAAGCATTGACTTAAATGAGAATTGAGATTCAAAACCGATGTAACAACTGGCAACAAATCTGTTGTGAGGGCTTTCTGAAGTGTGGAACGAAGTTCAGTCTGACAGGGAAAGAACATTAAAAGTATAAAAAGGACTCCAGTGAGGCAGTAATAAATGACATTTCAATTGAAGACACCAACAGATCAGTTATTCTAGTAAACACAATGTGGACCTAGGTTTGGCTTCATGTGAACAGAAACCGACTGAAGAAATTAATTCACCTACGTATATCTTACATAAACATGGCCAGCAGTATTTTGCGCCTTCTTGACTACAAAAGATTGTAGTCACACATATATAGGCAATGAGTAGGGGAATTGTTTGTCAAGTTTTTATTGAAGAGAGTGTACCCATGGGGTAGATTTGACCTGCACTTTTTGGCATTGTCAGCAGAATGGAACATCTTCCAAATGGACACTTGTTCTGGTGACCGCTTATGAGAGATTTGCTTTCTGTTGTAACTTCCGGTTAATAAATGAAGGGAATCTCCCCAACAATGAAAAAGCAAACAAAAGACTGGGCTTAAAAGAAGAGAAATATAAAAAAAAAAAAAAAAAAAAAAAAAAAACCAACCGCAACACATGGTCACAAGTAAGCTTTTTACTCACCATCCGTTTTTGCAGATCATCCCTTGCTTGAGAGGACAGACCCTCCTGCTTTATTATTTCTTCAGTACTCCGATTCACTTGTCTTGACACGGTTTCAGCAATAGTAGCAAAGGATGTGGACACAGCAGAGGTGGTGTCATTTGACGCTGAAGACAACGCAGCCAAGTGAGCATCTGCCAGAAAAAAAAAAAAAATGAATACAAAATTAAAGGCTTTTCTGTACACGTTTAATGCCATTTATCATCTAGAATTGTTTTCAGCAACTTTTTGTCATTTAAATATGCAGGAAATCTTGGGAAAAAAAACCCCACACCTAGGGGCAGATTCTTACCTATAGAGCAGATATAGAAATCCTGCATCCCCTGATGCTTTACACTGTAATCTTCCACAGATTTTTGAATCCTATGAAATCTCTTATCCATCTGCTCCGCAAAGCTCTCATGGACCAGAGCATTATATTGATCCACGGCCTTTTTGCGATCCAGTTTGGCATGGAGGCCAGAAACATGTTCAGTGGTTTCCTGGACTGTGACCAACAACTAGAACAAGGAAGAAATAAATGCCTCAATAAGTTTAATTTTCAGTCCTGTGTACATGTATAGATTTTTTTATTCGTTTTATTTGGGGGTTGGACAACTAACAATGTTACATTGTAGCATGGCTACTTGGAATGTCCCTGCGTAATGTTAGGAAAATGCCAAGTCTTTCAAGTGCATCTGTAGGCAAACTTACTGCCGCCTCCCCCCAACAGACACTATAAGTGTATAGAATGGGGAAGAGATAGACCCCCTGCTACATTTTGTACAGTTGTCTGTACCCGCAAAGGAAACTGACTACTTTACTTGTACCCACTATCACTGAGAAAAAGGGGAAACCAAAACATTTTAGAGTAGTTGCAAGAACAAGAGGTGAGGGAAATCTCCCAATAGGGACACCTGTTCCTGACACTGTAAGGGTGACATTCACAACACTTTGGGAGACTTCCTCCAACTTCTTTTTGCATCTCTGGATCGGAAAGGGAACTAAAAAATAGCCTGGCAGAGATTACAGCCCTTCCCTATTCTATCTAAAAATTAAACAAAGTTTTGGCCATAGACACTAACAATTGTTCCATATTTGAGATCCACGTAATGGTCTTAGTTTCCAGAGAAAATTTAAACAATCCCAAGTACATCCACACAAGCACATGAGATCTTGGGAAATACCTAAACTCCGAAAAGGTTTGAACAGAATTTACAAACCAGGACATCATGTAACCCACGGGTGTCAAACAGGCGGCCCTCTAGTTGTTGCCAAACTACAAGTCCCATGAGGCATTGCAAGAATGACAGTTACAAGCATGACTCACAAAAGGCAAAGGCATTATGGGACTTGTAGTTTGGCAACAGCTGGAGGGCCGCCAATTTGACACCCCTGATGTAACCTAATCAACCAGCTGACTCTACTCCATGATTAAAATGTAATTGTAGCAATATGTTATATGCTGTGTATGGCCTCTAGGGGTCTCACTACTTAGATACTGGTACAACTGTGTTATTGCCTCTCTTTGGTTGTAGTTCTAAGCAGACACATGTATAATGGCAGCTAGCAGCACCTAATAAAATGTCTCCTACCAACTGCAGGTCAACTACTAAAGCCAAAGCTTGTGGGCAATGTTAAAGCCAAACTAACGAAGAATCAAGATAGGCAAGCAGTCTATTATAATAAATCTGCAAAAGACCTGCCTGTTCTCCAGAGCAATGATAATGTACGGATTCAGCCAATAGGCAAATATGACAAACACTGGAAAAAAGCGAAGGTTGTACAGAAATTGGGACCACGGTCCTATGAAATTATAACAGAGGAAGGAAGAAGATGGAGGAGAAATCGGAGACATCTGAGAAAAACAGATGATACAGGGCCCTGGGAACAGTATATGGACACTCAAAGCGATGAGACTATGAATACCAGCAACAAAGAAACAGGGACTGCTGAGGAGCATAGGGAGGTCTCTAGGCAGAGAGAGACAGTCCCAGAAAATAGACTGCCAGAATCAGAAGAACACCAAGATTTCTGTGAAGAAACCTCATATGTTACGCGAGCTGGCAGAACCATCAGAAAGCCGGCTCACCTCAAGGACTATATCTAACTTATAGCTATGTTCTACTTCACCAGTTTGTGTTTGTTGTATTTCATTGTTCTTTTATTTAAAAGAGAAAGGATGTAGCAATATGTTATATGCTGTGTATGGCCTCTAGGGGTCTCACTACTTAGATACTGGTACAACTGTGTTATTGCGGCTCTTTGGTTGTAGTTCTAAGCAGACACATGTTTAATGGCAGCTAGAAGCACCTAATAAAATGTCTCCTACCAACTACAGTGTGTGAGCACCTGAGCAGGATCGACTAACAGAACAGTAATGTCACAACATTTTTTATCAAAATCCTAAGAGCTTACAAAGTTATTTGAAACAAGGGATGTTAACTGGCACAGATGGAAGCACTGTGCCAGAGGACTCGTATCCAAATTTGCAGGTTATACAGCAGGAAAATGACAAGAATAAAAAAAGTCAGAACTTTGCTCTAGAAAACAAAAAATATAGGAGCTGTTCGTGCAGACCTGTCTTTCAAGGTTCAGGCTCTGGAAGTCAACATGACTGCCCATTATCTAAACTAGGGTTGCAATGGTCTTTTTTTTTTTTTTAAATCACGGAATACGAGTTCTGATATTTGTACTCATTACTCATAGATACCATTGTCCTGTGACTTGAGCCCATACAAAAATGAATGGGCTCAGATCACACTGCAAAGATTTGCAAGTGATTTGACAAATAAAGCAGTGCGATTTCTGTCCAAATCACGTGTTTTCCCTGTGGGTTCAGTGCGATTTGAGGCATTCATTTTGTATGGCTCAAATTGCATCGCAGGGAAACGTGATTCGGACAGGAATCGCACTGCATTCCTGTTCAAATCACATGCAATTCTTTGCAATGCAATTTGAGTCTATTTGTTTTCTATGAGCTGAAATCGCACAGCAAAGGTATTGGTTTTAGGTATCGGCGCATATGCTTAGTATCGGCACAAATATTGGCAACGTTAATTCGGTAATTGTGCAACCCTAATCTAAACTGTAAAAAGCAAGCAGCCAATGCAGTTTGAAAATTCCTATTCCTTGTCTTACCTAGTCAGTGGCCAAGTACTAGGTAGTAAAGCCACAATAAGCATGATGCTCCTGAGCCTATTGCTCTAAATGAAGTGCGCAATGGTACTCTCAATTTAGCTCTGTATGATTAAATCTGCCTTTGGTTTGTGGCTCATTATTAAAGCATTTACACTTCTTAACTAGCTTTAAGCATTCCCTCAATGTAACAAATGTTTTTTAAAATCAGTGGTTCAAACCAGTTTCAAATTAGGCCCAGTTCATAACAAAATAGACATGGTATACTTATCAGCATCTATAGAACCCAAGCACACACCATGTGTGCAAACCTGTCCTTAGAAAACATGGGACACCCTTGCAGTCCTTTCCTTCTAAAAGAGTACCAAAAAAAAAAAAAAAAAAAAAACTAGGCGCCTGGCTGTCTTTATTTATATTATTTCAATTATTTTGTCTTGCTGATTCTCTTGCTTCAATATTTCCTCCATTTAACAAGGTCACGGATCAGAACTTCTGATGCTGCTTTCTGTGACCTGTAAAAAGTTTTTTCATGGCAGGCTCTCAAAGTATTGAAACATAAGAGGTGGTGAGCATTTTCAGGACCATTAATGATAGCCTCCATATGGTAGAAGGGCTATTACACCTCCAATATACAGTGTGGCTTATATTAAAAATGTGTAACGAAGTTGCCTATAACAGTCAGGAGTTTTGCTGCATAGTTTAGAAAAGACCAAAATGATGAGCTTTGTAGACATAACAGATTGTAGCAAGACAGGACATGGCAAAATTGTTTGCAGGTGGTAGGTCACTGTGATACCTTGTTAGCAGAGTTATGAAGGTTCTTCTCTGTGCTCTCCAGAGCAGACACCATGAACTCTTCCTCAGACAGGCGTAATCTAGATTCCTGCAGGTTCTTCTGGCTTTCCTCCAGCTCCTTCTCCTTATACTGCAGAACTGTGCTACACTCCTCCAACTCCTTCCTACTATCTGTGAACAGCTCAGTCACCTGCCAAAGCATAAAGCCAATAAAAAGGCTATAGGTTATTTGATGATTACAAGCAAAAATTTAAATATGGAAGAAAACAAAAAACCCAAAAACTAAAAGATGAAAAACCATAAGATAGTCATGATTTATTATCTGCTAGTGAGAAAACCTATTAGAGATTGGCCAGTATAAAAGTGGATGAGGCTGGAGAAGATATGTCAGTTATCTAGCAGAGATTGGCCGCTACTTGCATAGCCTGTAATGCAGAGATCCTGTAATTTAGAACACATGTAGGTTATAGTTTGCTTTCCAAGAACCGTAAAACTGCAACAACTATGTGAATCAGATGTTTTCTGTAGCTTTATTAAAATACCAATGGAAATGGACACCCCACCACACGCCTCTGCTCTACTGCGTTTCACCATACACATGGATTTAATTGTAGAAATGAGGATAGGGAGGGGTTAACATATTTATACACATTGTCTAGTAGTACCAATGATCTTTTTAAAGCTACAGAATCCATGCAATTGATCAATGTATATATGGCAGGGTGTCATGTTTTTGGCTCAAAAGGAAGCTCATGGAAATGCCCAGTTTACATTTGGTGCGGATGTAACGATGACGTCTTCAAGAGTGCTTGGCCAAGATCTACGGCAGGTAAGAGCGATCAGAGCCCTGAGAAGAACCTCAAGTCAGGAATGTTTTGTCAATTTTGAAAAGTACTGGAGGCCCACAATGGCACTTGAAGCAAACCAGTCATGACAAATATGGGAGGTGCTATGGCGGACATCCTGACCTTTTGAAGTTCCCAACCTTGAACAAGCAGGCAGGCCAGGAATGTCAGAACATTTATCTTAGGTCAGTGCCTTAAGGTTTTGAAGCGAGAGGGGCAGCATGGAAACCAGGTAATTAGAAGTCAGAAATTGCAGCCATCAATCTTCTCTTGGTAAAATTACGTTAAGGATATACTTCTTAGGGATTGTCCCAGTTCATGACATGTGCTTGTCAAAGTAGCATGCTAACTCTAAATGGCAGGAAACAAATTTGTGCAGGCAGATATGAGACAGTACCCTCTTCAACTCCTCCTCCATGACGGCAATCTTCTCCATATAGTCTGTGATTTGTTCTTCTTGACTTCCAATCTTCACTTGAAGCTCTCTGTGTAGAAAATAAATAAAATAAACATCGGCCTTTAAATTCTCAGATAGATATAGATATATATACAATTTACAACTGCAAGTACTTTACATTTCTCTTTAAAAATTTCTACAATTAAAATGTGTCCACCTAGAGATTACTTTCCTGCCGATTTGGCATTGGGTCCATACCACTGAGACACATCATAAGGGTTGGGTGACCAGAATTGCTATACATGAAACAACTGCACTGAGGACACCAGTTTTACAGACCTGCAGTTTGCTGGCCCTTTCATTGATGCTAGCAGCTTTTCTGAACTAAATAGGAGCAAGCCACCTATTGAGCCAGCTCATTCAAAAATTCATACGAACAGTCCTTTCTAAAAGAAAATCCTGGACTGTATGTGAGTCAAATGTTAAAGTATATGTAAACCCTCACTTGAAAAACAACCTATTTAGTTTAAAAAAAAAAAAAAGAAATGAAAAAGGCAAAAAACGTGTGTACATGTACAAAAAAAAAATATTATAAATACCTTTTTTCCCCTCTTTTTTTTTTTTTTTTTTTTATAAGTGATCACATACCCTTTGTTCTCAGCTGCATAAGGAGCTTAGAAAGCTGGAGGAAAAAACAGCATCACACTGGTCTTCCCAGTGAATGGCTGAGCAGGGGGGAGCATATAGGCAGAAGTCTGATCATAGGAGGCGAGCACACAGTTCTCAGCACAGCTATAAAAAGGACCACACTGTACTCTTGCCTAGTGTGGTCAGTTTTAATGGGAAAGCTGAGGGATGGGTAGGAACACCAGGGACTTCACACAAAAGGAAGCAATACAAAGAACAGGATACTTTTTCATACAAGTAAATGGTACAGCAGGCACATATCGGGAATATGAAATGTTGGGGTAACATTCTTTAAAATGCTTGTAAAAAATAAAACGTACTCATAGTTTTCACTGGAGAGGTAGACCCCATTCTTCTCTCTGGCCGTAGCAAGGTCCCTCTTTAACCGTTCAATCTCCTCTGTGTATTCCTGAAGAGAAATGTATACTATCAATACAGTAATTGTCATGGCACAGATGGTCCCAACACTTCAACAAGGCAGAGACATTTACCTTGATCAGCGCCCGCTTGGTCAGTTTCTGATTAACTTCAGGCTTGTTCAGAATATTCTTGGCTCGGTTGGCATATTCCAAAGTGCTCACCGTTTCCTGCAATAATGTACAATTAATACATAGAAGAAAATGTTTATGTAGCGCAAGAATAAATTATGTAAAAAAAAAAAAAAAAAAAAAAAAAAAAAAAAGAAGAAAAAAACACACACACACACACACACACACACAACAACACAGTATAAAAAGTAATGTACCCCAGAGCTGTCACGTGACAGTCAAAAAAGGATGGGAAGAAGCGAAAAGGGTCTGTGCCAAAGTGTGTGTACGTGTGTGTGTGTGTGTGTGTGTGTGTGTGTGTGTGTGTGTGTGTGTGTGTGTGTGTGTGTGTGTGTGTGTGTGTGTGTGTGTGTGTGTGTGTGTGTGTGTGTGTGTCTAGAATGGACAAACTATGATTACCTCCAGGTTAATAGAGGCTGGGGAGACTGTAGCAATGATAGATGTTTTTGTCCTTCCTCCCAGAGAGTCCTGTAGGATCCTTGTGAGTTTAGACTCTCTGTATGGGATATGTGGAGCTCTCTCCACCAGGGCTGTAATCACCCTGCCCAAAGTCAGCAATGACTGATTAATATTTCCAGCTTCACGAGCTCTCTTGTCTACAGCCCCAGAGCGGCCAATGTTCTCACTTCCAGCCAAATCGACCTGCAAAGACATTTATACAGAACAGGATTAATAGGGTCCTCTGGTTTTATACAGGATATCATTGGCAGGTGCAACAAATACTGGACTTCTCGCCATAAATGAATAACAGTAGAGAGGCTACAACTTTTCTTGAACAATGTCCTGTACAGCTAGTCACTAGTGCAATGAAAAGAAAAAAAAAAAAAACTGATGGGATCTTTGATGATCTCAAAGTACAACAGGAAAAAAAAAAAAAAAAAAACCAAAAAAAAACAAAAAAAAACAAAGAAGTATAGGGTATAAATTGTAAACAAAGTTTGCCTGATAATATCAACAAGCACAGGTAGTGCTAAAGACAAAAACTGTATGCTGTAAAAAAAAAAAAAAAAAAAAAAAAATTATAATTCCAGGCAGAAACACCATCATGGATTTTTCTTCCCTAGATATGGCAATTTAAAGTGATTGTTTCGTTAGAGAAGCATGGGAGGGATTGCCATTGCAGGCTACTTTCTGAAAATGCTAGATGCCTGGCTGTGTGACATTGTAATGTTTTTCTGTCACTTTCAGAACAAGCATGTAGTAAATGAGCATTATAAAAGTGTGCCTTTATCTTTATCTTTGTACTTGTTCCGGGTAAGCAACTCAGAAAGCACTGTAGCTGAAACAGGGGACTAGTATTCTTAAAAAGTTCAGTAATGGCAGCCTCCATTAATCTCTTATGACCATGTCCCTGTAAAGAAACTTTGGAATATTATGCTCATATTACGTAAAGAATATGCATAAAACATACATCCTTACCTTCATGCTGCAGCATCAATACGATGCTGCAAGCTGTCTCCCACCAGCTCTAAACCTGAGAACAGAGCCTTTGCGTGACCGCTGATCGCTCAGTTCTGAAGTCTGCTCTGAGCACAGAATGGGGACGGTCAGTCCCCACTCTGTGCTCTTCTCCTCCAGTACTCACTGGAGCATGGGGCAGGACAGGAGGGTGAAGTGGCTGGCTAAGGCTCTCAGCAGCAAGCAGAGGAGAGAACTACTGTGCCCCACCTGAGTAGTATGGCCAAAAGAGCTTTGACCATACTTTTCTTTTACTTGTAACACCACGTTTTTCATTAATTATTCTTGCTGCTCTCCCTCAACTAAATAGAAAGGGCTTAGACCATCACAAATCTTAATGAAACCCTGTTGCCAAATTGTTCATTTCACCAAAATCTTTCCATAAGATTATGTGTGTAAAACCTTATGTAGGCATCCTAAAGCCTTGAGGCTACGATGGATGCTGCCAACTTGATTGTGATGTCAGCAGGCCCAATACACTCAATGTTGTCACTCTATAGCAGTGATGGCGAACCCGTGGCACGCGTGCCACAGCCGGCACGCCGAGCCTTATCTGTGGGCACGCCAGGAGAATACCGTATTTTTCGCTCCATAAGACGCACTTTTTTTCCCCCAAAAAAGGGGGGAAAATGTCAGTGCGTCTTATGGAGCGAATATAGAGCGGCCGGTCCGGTATTTCCACCATCGCCGTGTCAGAATACCGGGCCGGCCGCTCAGCTCTGCAGTGGGACCGTACCTGTCCCTCTATCCAGCGGCGCGCTGTCTTCCCGGCTTCTGTAGTGTGCGTGACAGCCGGGTCCCAAGTGCGCATGCGCAAGAAGCAGTGCTCTTTGTGAATGGTAAGGCGGTACCTGGGACACATGACAGATCCCAGAAGCCGCCGGACCAATCACAAAGCGCAGCGCTTCTCGCGCATGCGCACTGGGCATCCGGCTGTCCGACGAGCGCCCACACTACAGAAGCCGGGAAGACAGCGCGCGGCTGGATAAAGGAACAGGTAAGATAAAAAAAAAAAACTCTGCGGAAGTAAGAGCGGGTACCTGTCAAATTCAGGTACCCGCTCCCCCTCCCTCCCCAAAGGTCAGCAGTCATCTGTACTGTCTGCAGTCTCTGGTCATCCCTGTGCTTTCCGCAGTCTCTGGTCATCTCCTGTACTGTCCGCAGTCTCTGGTCATCCCTGTACTGTGTCCGCAGTCTCTGGTCATCCCTGTACTGTGTCCGCAGTCTCTGGTCATCCCTGTACTGTGTCCGCAGTCTCTGGTCATCCCTGTACTGTGTCCGCAGTCTCTGGTCATCCCTGTACTGTGTCCGCAGTCTCTGGTACATGTCCGCAGTCCTGTCATCCCTGTACTGTGTCCGCAGTCTCTGGTCATCCCTGTACTGTGTCCGCAGTCTCTGGTCATCTCCTGTACTGTGTCCGCAGTCTCTGGTCATCTCCTGTACTGTCTGCAGTCTCTGGTCATCTCCTGTACTGTGTCCGCAGTCTCTGGTCATCCCCTGTACTGTGTCCGCAGTCTCTGGTCATCCCCTGTACTGTGTCTGCAGTCTCTGGTCATCCCCTGTACTGTGTCTGCAGTCTCTGGTCATCCCCTGTACTGTGTCTGCAGTCTCTGGTCATCCCCTGTACTGTGTCTGCAGTCTCTGGTCATCCCCTGTACTGTGTCTGCAGTCTCTGGTCATCCCCTGTACTGTGTCTGCAGTCTCTGGTCATCCCTGTACTGTGTCTGCAGTCTCTGGTCATCCCCTGTACTGTGTCTGCAGTCTCTGGTCATCCCCTGTACTGTGTCTGCAGTCTCTGGTCATCCCCTGTACTGTGTCTGCAGTCTCTGGTCATCCCCTGTACTGTGTCTGCAGTCTCTGGTCATCCCCTGTACTGTGTCTGCAGTCTCTGGTCATCCCCTGTACTGTGTCTGCAGTCTCTGGTCATCCCCTGTACTGTGTCTGCAGTCTCTGGTCATCCCCTGTACTGTGTCTGCAGTCTCTGGTCATCCCCCTGTACTGTGTCTGCAGTCTCTGGTCATCCCCTGTACTGTGTCTGCAGTCTCTGGTCATCCCCTGTACTGTGTCTGCAGTCTCTGGTCATCCCCTGTACTGTGTCCGCAGTCTCTGGTCATCTCCTGTACTGTGTCCGCAGTCTCTGGTCATCTCCTGTACTGTGTCCGCAGTCTCTGGTCATCTCCTGTACTGTGTCCGCAGTCTCTGGTCATCCCTGTACTGTGTCCGCAGTCTCTGGTCATCCCTGTACTGTGTCCGCAGTCTCTGGTCATCCCTGTACTGTGTCCGCAGTCTCTGGTCATCCCTGTACTGTGTCCGCAGTCTCTGGTCATCCCTGTACTGTGTCCGCAGTCTCTGGTCATCCCTGTACTGTGTCCGCAGTCTCTGGTCATCTCCTGTACTGTGTCCGCAGTCTCTGGTCATCCCTGTACTGTGTCCGCAGTCTCTGGTCATCCCTGTACTGTGTCCGCAGTCTCTGGTCATCCCTGTACTGTGTCTGCAGTCTCTGGTCATCCCTGTACTGTTAATTAGTTTGCACTACTGTACGAGTTGTTTTTTCTAAACCAAAAGCTCGATATTCAGGTTTCATTGCAGTGTTGGCACTTTGAAAGAAATAAGTTGGTTTTGGGTTGCAGTTTGGGCACTCGGGCTCAAAAAGGTTCGCCATCACTGCTCTATAGTATTCCCCTGACAGCTACATAAGAGATTATGTAGGGTGCAGAGGAGTGATGCAAGAGCTGGGCCAGCACACTCATAGAAGAGGAGAAGGCTATGCTATACTGGCTCTTTCTGAATTATTACACTTGATAGAAAATGTTCAGTGGCACATTGCATGTTACTAAAGTGGTTTATGGAAAGCACTGTAAAATGATTTATATATATATATATTTGAGTATTTGATTATTCTGTAATGTTACCATTTTTTAAGTTGGTGATAGGAATACTATAAAGCAATCTTGTCACTACTGGAAACAAAAAAAACAAAAACCTAGATTGAAGCAGATTCAGTGGCTCTCCAACATTTCCATGTGTGTCTGAATCTGATTAAGATGAAAGTCAATATATAGACACAGTAAAGTAAAACAGAGCTTACCAAATTCAGCTTGCCAATTTTAACCAGCTCTTCCCCATCAACAGTGGTTTCTTTCATGTGGATTGTGATTGAAAACACAGAGTGAGAACGACTGCAAAAGGAAACAATATATCTATGTAATTTTCTGCAAAATGAAAGTGCAACCAAAACACCAGAGATCTTAAAATTGCAACAATAATGACAGCATAGCAGCTATGCATGATTAGGAGCTATGAGAGGGGGTGAACTTGGGCTTTAACAAATGCTCAAACATACCTGGAGTAGGCATTCATCAGAGTAGATGCAGTGGTCCTTTTGGCTGCGCCCCTCTCCAAGATGTGATAAACTTCATCTTTGTTATGTACAGTTACTTCCTCCAGTCCTTTGATTATAACCCCTCTCTGCAATACACAGTACATCAGATTTCCTTCAATAAAAGGGTACTCCGCACTGATACACCTTCCAAAGGATTACACAACACCTGCATGCACAGCTTCTTACCAAATCCAAAAAATATATGAAACTGTAAAGAAGGACCCACCAGCATTTTTTCCAAGTCATTATTCCAAATATTTGTTCCTTAGGTCTCATGCACACTGGCTTTTTTTTTTCTTTTTTTACAGCTGCTCCTAGTGGCGTTGGGTGTCTTTTTTTTTTTTTTTACTGCCCTCCAAACTCCACTGCACGTTATCCTATTCATGCACACATAGGATTATAACAGTGTTTTGTGGCAGGAGACTTTAGCGGCATAAAAAAACCTCCACTCCCAGGGCATCCTGGAGCAGTAACATTTTGGCTGAAAAAATTCTTGATACGCTTGAACACTCTAGGCACATTTAGCGCTTGAGCGTTAATTTCAATGGCAAGAATAAATTATTTAAATTTATGAAATTAAAGTGTTAGTAAACCCACAACAGTAAAATCAGTTTGTATTTTGCAGTAAAGCATGCTTGTTATACTCACTGTGGTACCTAAGGGGCTAATTCTCTGCATTATGTAAAAAGGCTGTTTGATCCTGTGTTCTCTGTTCCTCCCTTTTTTCAAGCGTCCACCTCTTATCTCCTGATAAGACAGACTGAACCGTAGGCATGTTGCACATGCTCAGTTTGGTATGTATTGCTAGAGAGGTTTTTTTTTCCTGTTCTTGGGAGAGTGCATGTGATCAGTACAGGGCCAATCAGCACTGGTTAGACAGAGGTCAGGGGTTTTGCATCCTCCTAGAGCAGAAAGAAAACTCCTACAAGTTTTAGCTAGTGCTGGGCTGGACACTGATAGAACTCACAAGACTGCTCTAACTGCTAATGAGAAAAGGTATTTAGCAGTTTACATTTACTAAAATAATTGCATTTCCATGTTCTGTGGGAGACCAGATATAGTGAATGCAGGGTCCTGGGTTTAGTAACACTTTACACACGTTCACCCCTGTCAAGAATTTGGGCGTTAAAACACGGTACAACACTTTTACAAACAAAGCTTTTTTTTGGCCAAAACGCTACTGGCTTATAGAGTAGTTAAAATAATTGTCAGTGTGCATGAGGCCTTAGTGTTAGTGTGTTAGTTAGACCTGGCTTAAAAGTGCCTTAGGTAACAGTATGCCGTCTGCCAGTATCTGTGCTAGCATTCTTCTCAATCCCTCCAATGTCCTTTGGATCCTAGGTACAATATGTAACAACGGAGCTCGGCTTCTCCATATGTTGAGGTTAGGTCCTACCCCTTCCCAACACCAAGTCCTGCCCCCATCCTTCAGCTGTCAAATGCCATATCTTTAAAGCCTGCAGAGATTGGGACATTAAACACCTGAACAATAATCTTTAACATGGTAGAAATGGAAACATTTGAGGTTCTACACACAGCCTGGGTAGATGATACAAGGGACTCTACAAGGACCGGGACTGAGACTGACACAGCCATGTTAGAAGAACCCTGTGAACCTGTCATAAGTACCCTTAAAGACTGATACACAAAATGCTAACAAATAGCACAGGGTCGGATGAATTCTGATGTGTACATTGATAATAAACGTCACCTTATTTCGGGGATCATCAAACATCTGCAGTCTTTCTGAAACATCTGGTGATGGGCTTAGAAGATCAAAAAGCTCCTCATTGTAGATTTCCAGCAGAGACACCTTCACTGAAAACTCTGTGCCGTTCTCTGAAAGCTTCTCGAATATCTGATGAAGGGTTCGAGGGATTATGCCTGCCAGAGGGTCCTGGGGAGGAGGAAAAAAAAACAAACTCTAATATGTATAACAGCATACTGAAAATGCAATGCGTAAGCATTACATGAAGATAGAGTGGCAAGAGCAAATAGATTTTGGCTTTTGTCCAGAGTAAAGATGACCAACTTATAACAATATACATTGCAGACTGGCAGCTAAAAGGAAGTTCTCACAGAACACTGCCCCAAAAATACCTCTTCCCATTGAAATAAATGGAAAACACCTGAAAAAAAGAAAAAACCCACAGGAAAAAAAAAAACCCCCTGAAAAGCGCCTCTGAGAAGTGTTTTTGCTGCGGATCAGTGTGAAAGTAGCCTTAGAATTGATCAACTGTATATTTTAAAAAAGGCCACTAGAGGGAAAAATTCAAAAACTAAAAATTGGTCTCATTGTATTGCACACACACATAAATTAGATTCAATTCACAAAGTTGTTACATTGATACCAAACCACATAGCTCATCTCTCTAAACGCTGAATTCACAAAAAGGTGCAAAAGATGCTTTGTCTGCTCTGTAAGCAGCGTTTTCCCCCTTTACTAGTGCTAAAACAGTGCTATTTAAACAGCTTTAAAAGTCAGCTCAAAGATAACTGCACAGGTTACATTATCACATCACTTAATTAACACTATGATCAGCCAGGTGAATGCGAACCTTCAACAAGTCACTACTGGAAAATCGGGAATAGGAGCCATTTGAAATGGTAATAAAATATGGTTTATGAGAAACAGTCCAAGCCCAACTCCAGGCCAATAAAAACAATTATCCATTGCAGTGGGGCTGTGCCCACACTGCAAGGGTTATTTGCTCATTTAGGGCTAGGGGGAACAAAAAAAAAAAAAAAAAAAAAGATTTACTTACCTGATTCTCTATTCTTTTTCACTGCTAGATCGGTCCCCACAGTGTCTTCTCCGCACGCTCCAGTATTCTAGTGTCCGGATGTCTTCAAGACCAATGCTGGGTCCACAGCCCTGCATTGGGCATGTTGATGCAGAAAGACAGTCCTCTACCGGAGCGTGGTGGAGTGGAGGATCACCTAAGTGTTCCTCTAAACAAAACAAGCAATTAACCCTTGCAGTGTGGGCGCAGACCCAATGCAAGGGATAATTTTACATTTTCCTGGAATTTAGCTCTAAAGGTTAATTTGGTGTGGATAAAAAAAAAAAAAAAATTATATCTATCTAACTATAACATCCTTAGGCAGGTATTCATGTTGGTAAAAAGCACATTTTAGAAGAGGAAAAAAAAAAATTACTATCATGATTGATGGCGTTAGAATAACTCATTCATCTCAATGTCATCTTTCATCACACCCACTTTTGTAATGCTCCACACCAACCTATAAAATCTTACTATGAATTTTATTATTAGCATCCATTATATTTTCTAGGGTACAACTAAAAACCAGTCAAGCATGCATGCTGGACATACCTGTTCCCATGTAAACTCCCCATCTGAGGACCTTTCCCCTTCCATAGTAAATGTTTTACCGGTACCAGTTTGACCATATCTAGAGAAAAGAGGTCATGAATTATACATCAGCCACAGGCTTATCTACTTTTTATTATCAATTAAATTAATATTTTATATGGGGGTTAGTGCAAGAAAAAAAAACAAAAAAAAACCCCAAAAACTATATGATAAAAAAGACACTCACGCAAAAATGGTGCAATTATAACCCATTATAACTTCATCCAGGATGGGACACACAACACTCCTGTAGACTTCAATTTGTTTTGCAGATGGACCAAATACCTGCAGAAAAGAAAACTGGGTTCTATAGTTATCTGTGTAGATTTTTATATACACAAATATGCTATCAATAGCCTTCTTATTTTGTACATATGCAGCAGTGAACCTGGTGTGCCTGTTCCTTGCCAGAGTCACAATCACTCTAAAAGTAATCTGGAATAACCCAAAGCCCTAGTAAACTTTGCCTGTCCCTCTCTTCCCAAGAAGAGAATACGCTTTATTCACATTTTATGGACATCTGTGCATACTGGTTTCAGACTGGTAGAACAGTGAAAGGAATAGATTATTATTATTGTCAATGAAATGAATTACCGCCTAAGCGAGTGATGCACATTAATGTGCCTAAATGCGTTACATGTGTCGTGTTTTTTTTCTGTCAAAAGCATCTAGGAGAGATGGTAAAAAGTTCTTGTGTATGAGGACTAAAAAAGATCTTTTTCTCTTCAACCTTCCCTTCTCTCCATGAGTTAGAATGTAGCTCAGAGTATACGTGCACATAAAAAAAAAAAAAAAGTGTGAAAGTGGTTGTGAAGGCTTAAGGTTTTCCCCTTCATGCATTCTATGCATGAAGTTAAAAAAAAAACAGGAAAAACAAAAAAAAAACCTCTGTGCAGCAGCTCCCCCCCCCCCCATAATGCTCACCTAAGCCCCCTCTCAATCCAGCGATTCGCACTGGAGTTTGGCTATCCCGGGACGAGAGAGAGAGAGAGAGAGTCAGGTTGCTTGCTATGGGGGCACCCAACAGAAAGGATGGGCAGGGGACCCCGAGAAGAGGAGGATCAGGGCTGCTCTGTGCAAAACCCACTGCAAACAGCAGGAAAGTATGATGCATTTGATATTTAAAAATGCAATGTAAGCCTTCAATATCACTTTAATTCTCTACAAGGGAAAATTACTGTATTTGACAATAGCCAGCCATTAGAGCAATGATTTAGGAGATTCTTTTTAATCTCTAATGTACACAAAATAGGTACATTGAAGGGAGCACAGAGAGCGAGAGATATATAACTGCTCAGAGACCAGACTTGGATAACATCTCTGCTCACAGCTGTCAAGCCTGGTAGCAGAAATTAGAAGCAGATAGCTGCAGCCACTGAGCCTATACACTACAATAACATGCTGTCAGTGGCCCTAGCTACTCATGGCTGCATGCACAGCCAGCAATTACCTGCAGTGATCATATCTGGATGCACTTTGTGTGTCTGCAGGTAATTGCTGGCTGCCGCTGGGATACACATGTTGGCTAAACACCCAGGAAAATGCAGCCTTATGTATTTTAAACATCAGTGATGCGCCATCAAATGTAAAATTACATGAAAACTAACATGGCCAATTGACTGTCACAGATGTCAGTACACGTCTCTGTTATCAATGCAAAGAGACATCAGTGCAGCACAGTAATGCACACTAGTGATATCCTCAGCTCTCTGCATGTTGGTCTACCTTGCTCCAGACCACAAACTGACTAGCTTTGCTGTGTGTTACATACAGGTCTTCCTTACTATTCTTTAACACCGAAGTCACTTACCATATCAAATGTGTAGTTCTTTTTCCCCAGTTTGTCATTTATCCCTCCAGTCCGCACTGACACATCTTTTCTTACAGCATCAAATTCCAGCACAGAATGGGAGTTGGCCTTCCGCTCCAACTGATTGAATGGTCTGTAGGAGCGAAAACAAAAAGGTGCTCATTTTATTTTTCCTGATTAACAGCACGTTATTTTAATTTAGAAGTCACATAATTGGCTCACTACTATAAAGTGTATCCCACTCACAGAACTTTAGTAAGGAACGTTTTTAACCTTTATCAGATTTTATTTCTGTCTGTGGGCCGGAAATATGAGGGATGTTTCCAGCAAATACATGCACATTAATAAAAAGCAAAGCCCTAGTTTTTCCCCACACTACCCAAGAATCATTTATATTGCTGTTGTGTCCCTATTATAGAGAGTCACTGTGTTCCTGTGCCAGTGACAAAGTAGTGAAAGCAGAAGGGACAGGAAATGTAGGCTCTCTTGGGCCCCTGGAGTATCCCCAAGGGCCCATTCCCTCCAGAACGTGGTGCAGGAAAACCATATTCCATGTACGTTTTCCACACATGTTCCAATTGAACTGCATCTTGCCATCTGCAGGTGTCAGTGCAATGCCAATGACACTCCTAAAGTGGGTTTGCAAACACAGCGAGTTTTCCTGCACCAGATCGCATGGTACAGAAGTAGATGCGATCTGGTTACAGTGAGTTTTTTAACCACTTCCCGTCCGGCCCATGTACATAAACGGTCGGACGGGAGCAGTGCAGGAGCGGTTGGCTGTTTATTATTATTATACAGTATTTATATAGCTCCAAAAGGTTTGCTCAGCGCTGTACATTATAGTGGGGGACAGTACGAGACAATACAGTAACAAAACAATACACGAGGGGTTCGAGTTTATAAACGTCCTCCCGCTTCTCTGCCTGTACACGCTCCCTGGGAGCGCGCGGCACCACAACCTGGTGCCCGCTGTGTCCCGAGGACACAGCGGAACACTGATCACTGTACGGGACCTCAGTGATCACATGAATAGTAGTAAGCAAGATGTCACTTCCTGACATAATTGCTTACTACTAGTGAAATCTGAGAATGATCACAGAGATCACAGGGTACAAGGCTATTCACAACATCTTGTACCATGTGACAAGCTATGACCAATCACAGCTCTCACAGTATTTCTCAATGCAGTCAGAGAAGAAGAAAAGATTGCTTTTACAGCCTGTATGGGTGTAAAAGCAATCAGTGTAGAAAAAAAAAAAAAATCTTCAGCACCCCCCATACGTAGCACTATGTTGACACTGTACTGCTAGGGTGAGAGTATGTTTAAAAAAAAAAATATATATATATATATATATATATATATATATATATATATATATATATATATATATATATATATATATAAAAAATAAAAAAAAGTGTAAAAAAAAAAAAAAGTTTTTTAAATTGTAATTTTTTCTTATAAACTAATTTGGGTTATTTTTTTTTTTTACTAAAAAGGATAGATGAATGCATTTTGGCCAATATTTATGAAGAAAGATTATTTGCTAAATTTTACAAGAAAAACACTTTTTTTTTCAAAATATTTGGACTTTTTCATTTATATAGCAAAAAAATTAAAAACCCCAGTGGTGAATAAATACCACCAAAATAAAATTAGGTCTCAAATAAATGCTAAAAAAATTCATATGGGTACAGTATTGCATGACCACGCATTTGTCATTCAAAGTGTGATAGCACTAAAAGCTGAAAATTGGCCTGGACAGGAAGGGGGTGAAAGTGTCCGGACTTGAAGCGGTTAAAGTAGTGCATGCACTACTTTGGTGCAGTGCAGTGCTATTTCAGTCTATTCAAATGAATGGGCTGAAAACGCACTACACTCAAGTCGCACATGAATCACACAGGAGCTTGATGGTGTTCCTGTGCAAATCCTACTGTGAACCAGCCCTCAAGAGAGGAATCATTTGAGTGTATAATGGGTTCATGTCCCATATAAAATCAATTCTTGGGCATAATACAGTTACATTGGAACATTAACCAAGGGTACCAGGTGATCCAGAATTCTTTATTCTGATCATGGTCAACTTTGCCAAGATATCGTTATTTACACCAGTCTTGTACAGTGGGGGTGTTTTGTTGATTCCAGAATTTTGGAATCAGCAGTATAGCAGCATTATTCAGATGTAGGAGTATGGGCGTTATATTCATCGGGGTCCATGTCACCAATAGAAACCTCTTAAAAGGAGAATATATACCGGTATATATATATAAAATTTATTTATTAGGGGAGGCTGGAACCACTGTCAGATTTTCTATTGTCATCTGCGTTCCTGTTGCAGATTTTCCCTCACTTCTGTCTGAAACAATTTTAATCATGAGAGAAAGGGAAGGAAAATCTGATCCAAGAAAATGGTAAAATCACTCACTTTTTTTGCTAAACGTTTAGGCTCGAGGTACTCTTAAACTAGACAGTGCATGTGATGACGAATGATGCGCTAAGGTTCAGCCCGACTCCTGCAGGAAACAGTCCCTTGACATCGGCCTGCCAGCGTAATCAGCTGCAGACCTGGAATTCCCCTCCCCGCACGCAACAAAGGAGCGAGGATCCTGATGACATCATTGTCTTAATATGGTCACATGACCAAGTTCAGGGCAAACCTTAGCTCAAACCTAGCTGATGACATTGAATCCAATTGATTCCTATAACATACCTGCATCTCACAACAACCTGGATATTCTTCCCTTTTTCTTCTTTCTTGCTGTACATGGCTGAAAGCTGGGAGGACATTGTCGCTCACGTGTGACCTAAAACACAGGGAGGAAAATGAATTAATAAATTGTGGTTTTTGGACAATTATCAGTTTTCTGACTGTTAACAAAAAGTCTAAGGACATAAATGAAATATACCAAAGTGGTTGCACCTGCCAAAATTTTTTATTTAATTTTTTTTTTTTTTTTTTAAATATTACTGCCCATCCATTCCTGAAGTTTACTCAGCTCTGCCAAACAGTGCAGCACTGTCCAGAAGTAAAGATGACCTTGATCTTTCCCTGCTGAAATTTATCCTTCACTTGAAGGTCCCCTTCCCCCCTCGTGACTGGACAGTAAAAGGGGAAGCAGTCCACTGATTAGTTGATCTGTCACCCTGCTCTCTTCTCCCATCAACATGGCTTCTTGTACTGCAGCACATCTGACTGGGTCATCTGCTACTTTTCCACCCCCCCTTTCTGAGGCCTACTCTACAGGAATATGCAGTAGACTGCAAGAGGCTGATACCAAGTTATATTCAGATACTTATACTGTTTGCATTTACAAAATACACTTCATTATGTACAAATGAACACAAAGCCAACTTTACTTTTGCCTTTTATATGTGCCTGGAGCATAGCGTGTGCAGACATATGACAATGTTCATCTGTGTTTTGTTTGCCAAGATTATTGGACTTTCGAATATGAAGGCTCAGTATTGCTGTTGTGGAATATGTAAGACCCTGAGACACATGGAGGGTGCATGGTTTTTGGTGGGCCAGTAGACCCAGACTTGTATTGTGCCAAAACAGTAAAGCACAGCCATTGTGTAGAAGGGCAATGCAAGGACCAGTCTGCAGCAATATATTTGTACCCAACCTAAAAGACATTTTGCATGGTTTTCGTCTACAAATAAAGAAACGCAGATTTAATTAACACCCTGGGAAGCAATGCCAGCACCAGCTTTGTATTCTATTAAATGGACGCATTTTCCAGCAAGTCAATTCCTGAAATGGTTGACCTTTATGAAATGTAAACAGGAGAACATATACTGGCATGAGGTGTATAAACAGTAGTCTGAGGCAGAGTGTTGTGTGATCTTTCAGAAAGATCTAACCCAATGCCAGAATTGAGGTATGGAATATAGAGTGATATTGTATACATTTTCTTTACTATATTTAGAACTAAAGAGAATACATTTATTTCAGTATACTGTATTAGGAAGTGGCCTGTGCTTGAGCCTATGTACATTGAGACTTTGTTCATACGTGCTGCTAAGGAGTGGTTAAACCTGGTGGTTCAGCCACGCTTTTACCGTCCCAACCACCCGCCTTAACCTGGGCATGCAAACATCCAGGATTTTACCAATGCCACAGCAAAAATTAAATAGCAGGATGCATTTGACTGGCCATACTGCCGCCAAACATGACCAACGCAAGTCTATGGGGCAAAGCCGCAGCCACTTGCAAATTCCACACACAAGTGTGGCATTTACAGGGTTAAATCAGGTAGTGAGGTTTCTGTTACAAAAAAAAAAAAAATCCAACATTATGTCATCGCCTGTCAAACACTCTCTGAATAGTACAAAAAAAAAACTGGCAGACAGCGCCAAATTGGTTGTTTTGCAGGCTGGCTGGCAAGCATTGCTGGGAAATTCTTTGTTTGCATTGTTCATTGCCCTTCCATGTGCACCTTACTGCTAAGGCTGGTTATAGGTTGGGATGGTTGCCATTTTTTGTGCAGTTGGCCAACTTGGATGCAAGGATGCACTTGGATGCCTTTTGCTGTCATTTTGCTATAGCTGGGAGTCATGTGTGTCCCTGTACCTCTAAGGAGGGATGGGCTCCTCCAGGCACACCTGCCCCTAACCCATCCATTTATACATGTGTTCCTACTTTGGAGGCTTTGGAATTTTAGTTAGGTCCACAGCATAAAGAGGACCCTTGACATGGGACTGTGGCTTGCACATGTGTGTGCAAACAAAACCCTCTGTTTTTAATGCAAACGGTTAGACAGCGCCAGATTGGTTGTTTTGCAGGCTGGCTGGTAGTTGTTGCTGGGAAATCCTTTGTTTATCCTCTGAATAGGGAGCCAACAAATTGCTCTTCAAAGGGCACTGCACATATAAACGAGTCCTAAAACTGCAAAAAAAAAAAAAAAAAACCCTTTGTGATGTCGCTTCCACAATGCAAGGGTTAAATACTAGTCAACACTCTTTACAACTGGCCAACACATGTGGCAGCAAAAGGGTGGGCTTTAATACACACGCTGCACACTTATACATCGCTGGGTGGCCGATGTTTCTGCTCACTACGTTCTCCTGGTGCAGAGACCAGGCTGTCAGACAGCTCTTGGTCCCCACATATGATAGGTAGATGGCGGACCTGGCTCCCAATTATATGACCACTGTGACAGCCAATCATGGTGGTTACATAACTGGCTGACTTTTTCCACTACCGCGGCATTGAGAGTTTTGTAAAGGGATGCTGGGTGGGAAGAAAGGGGTTAAGTCTAGAAGTAGAGGAGAAGGCTGTAACACTTTCATTATAACTTACTCTGACGGTGGGGTTCTCTTTTACGCTCTGGGTTGTGGGTGTGTGCTCGCCAAACGGGTGGTATTTAATGACCAACTTAAAGTTGGCATGTATGGGGAGTATGTGTTCATTACTTTATGAAAGCAGTACTAAACTCCCCCCACTCCCATGGTTTTTCTCCTATTTACCTTACCTGCAGTGCTCCTCAAAGCACACACTAGCCTGCAAATCCAAAGTTGTCCCACTGTGATCTGCGGTTCAGGTGCCACACAGAGCCACAGGTCCCACACCACCATATTGGTCCTCTTCAGCTTGTAGACTGCCAGCTCCATAGATGTGCCAGATCCACTCCTGGCCACGGTGTGCCTATCCTGCAAGTATCCCAGGAGGCTGCATTACCAGGTGCACGCCGTTTTGGCCACATGCTCAAATGGTGTCAGGAGGTGTCAGAAGGTGGGCCTAAAAGGTTTTTTTAAAATGGACAGAAAGGGAAAAAAACTCCCACAAGTCTGCTTCCTGGGGAAAGAAGGGTTTGGGGGGGGGGGGGTTAAAGCAGAAAAACTAACTTCCTTTTGGGAGTGTAGTTTCACTTTAATTTGTATGCGTTTTACATTTAAAGCATTGGTTGCTAGCATGAAGGCTGCCCACATCCTAGCAGCCAATGAGACAAGTCATACTGAACTTACAGTGGGAGGAGCCTGATGGGGAACTCAGAGACTAGTTCCCCATCAGGTCCTCTTTGCCTGTGACAGTGGGTGGACCCATAGCAACTTTGGAATCCAGCCACTGCAGTTGTCTTTCAACCACAGGCAAGGCAGACCTGATTGGGAACTAAGGTTTGTTGGGCAGCTATTGCAGCACAGTCCCACCGCAAGAGAAGGCAAAATGCTTGTCTCCAATGTGGCTGGCTCTTACACTGTGAGGTAGGAGTGCTGTGCTCAGAGAGAATAAAAAAAAAAAAAAAAAAAAAAAAGTACTACAGGCTGTACTTTTTTCCAGTGCAGCTGCCAATAGAACGTAAAGTGGAGTTCCAGTTGAATAAAGATAATAAAATAAAAAAAAAAAAAAAAAATAAAAAATCAGCAGCTACAAAAACTGCAGCTACTGACTTTTAAAATACAGTCACTTACCTGTCCCCCGATCCCGCGGTGTCCTCACCATGGCTGGTTTCACTGGACTACAGTTTCCGATCGCCTTGGGCAATCGCAGCAGAAGTGGGAACGGTTACCTGTCAAATTTGAGTACCCACACCCCAAAGGTGCCGATCCTTATCCTTAGTGGGGGGACAAAGCATTAAAATGGAACTTCCCCTTTTGGGGGGGAGCTGACTTTTCACATAGTGTTGCCAAACCCCCTTCCCCCGCACAGACCTGTACTGGACGGTATATCTGCTCTGTGGAGACTGTCATTTACTGGAACAATGTATTGTAGATAAAAGAAATCAGTTGCCATCCCAGCACCTCCTCATTAGGAAAAGTAGGCACCAGGGAGTGCCAGTTTAGCACCCATCTAGCGCCGACATTTCCAATCCACGTTGACGGACCCCGAACCTCCCTCCCCTGCAGACTACTGAATGATTTTTTTTTTTTATCTGCTTTGGGATCTGATGATTTCTGGAAGAATATCTAATACAAAAAGGGGTGATATTCTATCAAAGTCAAATAAGAAAAGTAGGCACCGGAGAGCACCCGTTTTGCGCCCATCTGGCGTCAAATTTTCAAATGGTGTTGCCAAACCCCAAACCTCCTGCCCCAGCACAGACAAGCCCTAATGATCCAGTGTGTATTTGGCCAATGACAGAGCACAGACTGTCCTCCATCGAATCTATGTACCTCGATGTGACAGGTAGATGAATGGGGTGCAGGCACCGACACTCATCAGTGCTGCGCCCCATCCAAGTCCTAAAGGGCTCTTCTACACCCACGATGGACTCTGCAGAGGCTTTATTGGGTTATTAACTCATGATATTTCAGCCCAGATGATAGTAGAAGGATGATCCTTTCTAGGAGACATAGAAATCGCCCCGATCCATCCCTCCCACCACTAGGAAGGGTTTGCTGAATTCTTCACTTTAAAATGAGATTCCATAGTAGAGAGAAGAGTCCAGCTGGAGCCATGATCAAAGGAGATCTCACCCCCTCAGTCTCATAGATATAGGAAGCCAAGGAGAAACTCATCCTACTGACAGCCAAGCCTCTGTGATGGCTGTACAGTAGATCCACCATTTCTGACCTTTATGAAAACAATCACATAGGAAAGAAATCGGAGTTCATTATCACAGCAATCCAAATCTGTTTAGTGCTGGTTGTAAGAAGAAAATAAATAAATACTAAAAGACCACCAGTATTACATTGTATTTGAGCAACAAGAAAATATTTTGTATCATTTGGAATGTTCCAACCTGCAATGCTTGAGTGTCTGAGGCTAAATTTACTATGTACAGTATATACAAGGTAACTAATGCAGGCCATACGTGGGTCAAATTCCAAATGAATTTTCTTTAGAA